CCACTTGCTGAGTTCAGCTGCCGTGGTCTCCGAGTAGATCTGGAGCCGTTTGAGAAACGCTAGAAGCGGTTCATCGGCCTGCTGAACTGGAAGAGGGGCAACCGGCCTCTTGGGGCTGGCTTATGCATTCACGTCAGCGGTAGCAGCCATGGTCGTGCGTCGTCTGCGCGGGATCCGAGCGATCTTAGGTCCCTGTTGAGGCTTGGCTCCTGTGGATCCGCCCTCGGCCAGTCGTTGGCTGCGGCGCATTAAGTACTCTGGTCTTCGTCTGCTGCTGATGTGTCACCGCTGAGGTGGCACCTGCAGATGTGGCACTGCTGAGGTGGCCGCCGCTGACTGGGCACTCGAATGTCGTGGCACGCTGAGGTGGCATGCGGCTGATGTGGCAATCTGCGTTCGTGGCCCGCTGCTGATGTGGCACAATGCTGACGTGGCCCGAGACTGATGTTGCATACTGTAACGGTGCAGACCAGAACAAGAACCGACCTCTCTCACAAAGTACAAGATACCGTAGCGGAAGACTTAGATACCAATGATCCGAACAATCAATATTGCAATGCAGCCCCGAACAGACATCATCATCATCACTCCATGGTGTGAAGGGGTCTGGCGCTCACACAGGAAGAATGCGCCAGCCCCAACCATACACAGACGAAGAAGAGGGGGGTTAGACGAAGAAGAGGGGAAGATGGGAATGTCGTCAACACCAAGTCTTCGGCACAGGCCCAAATAGTCCCTCRTCAAAATGTCTGAATCCCAATGTCGAGTCTGGATCCAATGTCGTTAAGTCTCAAGTCACAACTCTCTCTCTCTCTGTCGTAGCCGCTGATACTGAGAAGTCAGGTAGAGAGAGGGTGAAGAAGAGATGGTGGACTTAGAAGTGGAAGAAGAAGAACTCTCTCTCTCTCTCTCTCTCTCAGTCCGGTACTGACCTGTGAGGCTGGCGCCTTGATGCAGGTACCTCGACGATGGAGCTGGAGCTATGGCGCCACAGGTAAGTCTCACTGGCCTCCGCCAGCCATCTCTCTCCAACACTATTACTACCACTACTAGCGCCCAGCGCTGAAGACTACTGCTACTGCTAATAGCGCCCAACGCTGAAGACTACTGCTAGCTCTAAGCTACTCCTGCAGCGCTCCTCCTGAGTGCTGCTGCCGAATCCTGAAGACTGCCTCCTGCCTTCTGTCCAACTACCTGCCCGGGAAGTGCATGGGAACTCCCTATGTACTACTTGGCCTGCCTCCTGACTGCCTGCTAGGAGGCTGCTCTTGCCAATACCAGGGCAAGCCAGGGGCTGGCGCTGCAGCTCCTGTTGAGGCTGGCGTGGGGAACAGGCCAAAAATAGCATGTTCAAGAAACCCTGGTTTGTTGCCTGAGTTCTAGGGCAGGGCGATCTTATGAGGGCCCGAAAGTGGCCCTCCGTTTCAGGCTGAAAAGCCCTGTTTAGGCTGAAACGACATAGGGCCTGCAGGTCCTTGTTTTCAGTCTTTCAGGCTGAAAGGACACGGGGTCTGTAAGCCCTTATTTCTAGGCTGAGAATGCCGGACGGGCCCTGCAGGCCCGTGTGGCTACGCAGTATGCCACACTAATGTCCGTAGTACCGAGAGGAGGAGAGAGAGAAGGTAGGGATGGAAGGAGGGCAGAGGGGCAAACAATGCACAGACAGTCCCTTTCTTCCCTGACCTCGAAATCTGACACTAATCAAAAGAGAGAACCCCGCCCCCCCCCCCAACGGAAATTTCGACTTTTGGGAAATTGAATAAATATAATTGATAATTACAAATTAATAAAATTTAATTTTGGCAAAAGATTAAATATTTAATTAAAGAATATTTAATTTGCAATAATTAATTTTGCAAAAGTTAAATATTTTATTTAAAGCAGGATAACCGACGTTCGGGACGGGCCGAACGCCCGAACGTATGGGACCCCTTGGGGATGCGTTCGGCCGTTCGGGCCGAACGCAGACACAAAAAAAAAAAAAAAAAAAAAAAAAAAAAAAAAAAAAAAAAAAAAAAAAAAANAAAAAAAAAAAAAAAAAAAAAACGGTCACAAAAAACTCTGAAAAAAAGATATGTTATGGCGAAAAATGAATTAAACAAGATTTGCCTGAGCATTACGTCCGAATTCCTTACCAAATTTGAAATAAAAATAAAATACACAGAACAAATACTAATAACAAAAATAAATAAAAATAAAAAGAGAATTAAATTTCGTGAGTGTGCGAGCATGTTTTCGACACCGACAACTTTGGCGACTTTTCATTTCTTTTTGGCAAAGCTAAATGCCCTGAAAATTTACAGATGTGTACTTCACATAATACAAAACCCACTAAAAAACTTTCAAAAAATAATAAAATTGTTTAGACCCCAAACTAAAGTGAAAACAAAAAGTCAAAAGTGAAAAAAAACGTGGGGGAGCGCGTTTTGACACCACCATCTTTGGCGATTTTTAATTCTTATTTGGCTAAGCCAATGACTTGAAAATTTATAGGCATGTACCTAACGTCATCGAGAACTCGTAAAAAAACATTCAGAAAAAAAAAAAGATTTTTAGGCCCCGAAATAATTTTTGGCGGGGGCCGAACGCCGTCGGGTTCGGGCCCCGTACGGGACCCCGAACGCCCGAACGTACGGAGGTCCGCCCGGGGGCCTCCGTACGTACGGGCTCGTAACCCTGATTTAAAGAATATTTAAATTTGCACAAATAAAAATTTTAAGCAAATCATTTAAACATAACTTAATATTTTCACGAAATTTCAATCGGGAGAATTTAGCATAATCATGAGGTCGCTAATTAAGTAGAAGATAGGTGATAGTAGGAAGATAGACAATTTGCAGTAAAGATTCAACCTTTAACCGCAATAAAAGATGCGTTTTGCAAAAAGTGAAAGTTCCGTGAAGTTGCAGTTTGAATGTGGCCGTGCTCAGGCCCGGTCTGCCTGAACTGGCATGGTGCCCGGCTGGCACTTACTTCCCGTAGTCTGATAGGTCGTTTAGATTAGGTTAGGACTAACCCTAATTAGCACTAATTAGGTTACTCGTAATTAGCGATTCCCTACTTAGTGCAATATGGAGAAAAGTCAGAAAACCTAAATTTATAATTTAACGACCTAATTACTATGTAAGTGCAAGAAAAGAAAAAAATTTGCAACTTGCGATTTGAACGATAACAGAGCACAGATGTGATAATCAATCACTCACTCACTCACTCAATCAATCAATCAATCAATGGTGAGTCATCCAATGCTGGTCTGCTCCGATACCAAACTGTTGCATACTCGTGAAACACAGTCATAAGTATGGCGCAGATTCCCAGAACCGACCAGATAATACAGAGTTAATACAAATGCAAGCGGAAGACTTGAGATACCTTGGACTGACTCGGACCTGACTCGGACTGCAATTGAACACTCAACCATACATCAGGGGTGTGAAAGCCCTGGCCGTAGACATAGACGAAGGCCAGGGCCTGAGATCATCCACGGACGAATTAAGGGAGGAGAGAGACGAAGGGAGGAGGAAAGGGAATGTGACGTCAACTCAATGTTTCCAAAGATAGTATCTTGAAATGTCAGAAGTGGTGAAAATCCGAAATGTCGCGAATACAATGTCTCACAATGTCTCAGAGATCGATCTCACAATGTCAAGTACATCTCCAGAAAGAAGATGAAATCAGATCCCCCAAGTAGTCCTCAACCTATAGTCCCAATGTCGCTGTTCCCAATGTCATCAGAATTCGTAACCATCCTTCATACTCATACTAGCCCTGTAGGAGAACCCAGGAGTAGACTTAGACTGGGAAGGTAGGAGGAGAGAGAGAGAGAGAGGGAGAGAAGGAGCGGTGGAGGAGATGAGGGAGAGAAGGCCAATCCTTCCTCCCTGGTACCTGGCACGGTAGCTATGGCGCTGCAAGGGGGCTGGGCCGGTAGCTGGCGCTGCGCCCAATGCTGCTCTAATCCTCTCGCCGCTGAACTCCTGTTCTCATCGCTGCTCCACGCTTATGCTGCAGCGCTGCGCTAATCGTATGCGCTAATCCTGAAGACGAACCTTCGGTCCATACTAACCTCCCTACTATGGCCGGTACCCAGCCTTTTGTAGTGCTGGCCCGGGCTCCTACCTGCTGGTACCTACCGGCCTGGACCGTTGATCTGATCAACGGTCCAGATTCAAACTGGACTTGGCGCCAAAATGCGGGAGCCTCTGAAACTGCGCCGCCGGTAGGTCCTATGCTGGACCGGTACCAGCCTTGTGGCCGTTGGCCTGGGCCTCTACCCCTGGCCTGCCTGAACCGCCGTGGTCCAGGCCTATCTGGGCCTCGTCTGAACCGCCGTCCCCTTAGGCCTACCCTGCCTATTTGGAATCGGGCCCTAACTGAGGCCCGTGTGGCCCGTGTGGCCAGATCGAGCTAACTGCGAGGGCGAAGCTGTCTGTCCGATGTCCGTACGGGGCGGGCAGGTTGGGCAGCTTCCTTAGCAAGTCGCTGTTTTTCGTAATGCGAGGGGTGCTGTCGCCTTCAGGTCAGCTCGTGAAATCCAGCGTGTGTCGCCGGGATCGCATTGCTTGAATGTAACTTTGTATTGCATTGGCTTGTTGCCATGCTTGCGATGCGTGAGGACGCGGTCGACCTCCTGATGACCATCCATTGAAGGAGGGTCTTGTGACCGTCTGCCCCGGAAATCCGCTGCGGAGGCTGGAGTGTAGACAGCCAGCTTTGAAGCGTGAAATATCGGGTGGACCGTCAAATGTGGGGGAATCTCAATGATGAAAGATGGACCCGCGGGGTCATCGCCAGCTGCAAAAGTGACCTTCCATGGTCCAAACCACTTAGGGAGGAGTTTGCGGGAGACGTGCTGCTCGAGCGCGAATTCCTCAGAGGTGACCCAAACTAGGTCGCCAGTGCGTATTGGACATGGGATGTGACGCGGGTTCGCTTGCTGCTGCATACGGACCTAAGCCTTTTGCATGTTTGCGCGGGCTTTGGCCAGCAGTTCCTTGTACTTCCGTGTAGAAGCGAGGGAGCAAGCGGCATCGATATCGGCAGCCTGTGGAAGCAAAATGTCTGCGAAGATACGTCCTTTTCGTACACCGTGATGCAACTCAAATGGAGTCATGCCAATCGTTGGGTGCACCGAAGTGTTGTAGGCGAACTCGAGGTCGGGAAGGCGGTTAACACAGTCCTTCTGATCCGGGCGGATGAGTGTGTGGAGCATCATCTGCGCAGTCTGGTGCGCACGTTCCTTTTGCCCATCCGTTTGAGGATGCCGTGCGGAGCTTGGTTTCATGCTGGTGCTGGATTCCACCATGAGTGCCGTCCAAAAGGCCGACATGAAACGAGTGTCGCGGTCGCTGACGATGTCTTCTGGAAAGCTGTGGCTGCAAAACCAGCCGGTATGCAAAAGTCGTGCGAGCTCGGGAGCTGTCGCATGATACTTGCATGGAAGAAATCGAGCGTACTTGCTCAAACGGTCAACGACCATGAGAATACCATCATGGCCAAAGCGATCGTGAGGGAAAGGACCGGTCACATCCATAGCAATGGAGAGACCTGGTTCCCGAGGAATCGGCAATGGTTTCAGTTCGCTGTATGGGAGCTGATGGCGCCCTTTGTTCCGGTGGCAAACTGCACATGACTGAATGTACCGGTGCACGTCGCTGATGATGTCCGACCAGTGGAATCGCTGGCGGAGTCGTGCAAGCGTGCATGCGACGCCAAGGTGTCCCGCCAGCCGCAAATCGTGGTATTCGCCAAGGAGGCGAGTGCGCAAGATGCGGTCTTGGGGAACACACAACAAGTCCTTGCCTCGTGTATGGAGAAGCAAGTAGCCGTCGACAATGCGATAGTTGCTTGCCGGCGGGTGATCCGATGATAAGTCCGCATAGAGTGTGGAGAATCCCGGATCCGACTTGTAGCTGTTTACGAAATGCTGTTGCAGGTTCTTGTCAAGGCCGAATGTGGAGTGCACCAAGGCGCAAAGATCGGGTCTTCGCGAAAGAGCATCCGCTGCCTTGTTCGAGGAGCCTGGGATATGCTTGCATTTGAAGTCGAATTGGTCAATGAAGTACATCCATCGACCGATCGTGCTGCTCACCGTGTCTTGCGTCTTGTAATAAGTCAACGGATTGTTGTCCATTGCCCACGTGAATCACAGATGCCCGAGGAGAAAGTGACGCCAACGCTTAAGTACGGTGACAAAAGCTAGCAGTTCCTTCTTCCTCGCATCATCAAGAGTGTTGATGGGCAGCACCTTTTGGCTGAAGTACTCTACCCGATGCCATTCCAAAACCGCGCCAATGCCGTAGCCGGAAGCGTCCGTAGTCACTGTGGTAGGCAAGGTCGGGTCATAGATGCTTAAGACGGGACCTTGGAGCAAAGTCGTCTTCAGCGTATGGAATGAGTGTTGGCCTTCGTCGTTGAACTCGAAGGGCACCAAAGGGGACTGAAGTCGCGACAATGGTGCATCGATCCGTTGAAAACCTTTGACAAAGCGCATGTAGTATGATGCTAAGCAAAGAAAGGAGCGGACGTCGGTAGTACACTTAAGGTCCGGCCAATCTTGAATAGCTTGTACTTTGTCCGCGAGCGGACAACTGCCTTGTGGCGTAACGTAATGGCCCAAGTACTCCAGCTCGTGCTGGGCAAACTCGCACTTGTCGCGGTTTGCCTTGTACTTGGCGATACGGAGCCGCTCCAAAACGGCGCGAAGGTGCTCGAGGTGCTCGTCCAGCATCCAACTATAAACCAAGATATCATCAAGGTAAATGAGTACGGTGCGGTCGAGCAGGTCGCGGAATTCGGTCGTCATGACCGCTTGGACAGTAGCAGGGGCATTGGTAAGACCGAAAGGCATGACGATCCACTCAAAGTGCCCATACCTCGTCTTGAATGCGGTCTTGTACCTATCTCTTGGCCGGATCTCGATCTGGTGGTATCCGGACTTGAGGTCAAGCTTCGAGAAGTACTTGGCGCCGCCTAGTCGCTCGAGAAGATCATCGACCCGAGGGAGAGGGTTGGCGTTCGTGATCGTTTGCGCGTTAAGTTTCCGATAGTCGATGCACAAACGAAGGTCCTTGTTCTTCTTCCGGACGAAGAGAACGGGAGCACGTTATGGCGAACAGCTAGGGCGAATCCAACCCTTGGCCAAGAGGTCGTCTAGTTGTGCCCGAAGCACTTGAAGCTCCTCTTCGCTCATGCATATACACGCGCGGAGGTACGGCGCCGTCCTCGAGAGTGATCCCGTGGCGTATGGGCCGATCCGGTACTACTCCGGCGGGAGCTTGGAAGACAACCTCATAGTTGTCCAACAGCTCAATGATGCGTGGGTCCGACGTATCCGTCTTGGGCTGATCATCGGGTGGGAGGGCGTGAAGAAAACATATGCCCATCTCCTCGATGTCGTTCCGCCGGATGGATTGGCGAATGCTCGCCGCGGATACCACGTGACAACCAATCGAAGGATGAGGAAGCGGCACCGCACACAGGACTAGTTCGCCACGCCGATCTCGAACGCGAACGGTGCGTCGGTAGAAGTTGACCGGTTGGTCTTCGCTTTGCAGCCACGACATGCCTAAGATCATATCGAACTTGGTGTCCAATATGTCGAAAGACACGACCTCGCATGCTAGCGGGGCAAAGTACAGGGGCACCGAGTCAATGCATCGGTCAATTGACTTTTGCGTGTGACCATCGGCCAACGTGACGTGCGTAGGCTGACTTTTCCTTCGAACGTGCGGGCCTAGCCCGACGCTTGCCATGAAGTCTTGGCTGATGTAATTGCGAGTCGCTCCACAATCGATCAAGGCACTGCAGGTCGCCTTTCCGATCTGAATGCGGATGTAGAGGAGCGTCACGTCGATGTCGACGCACCGTTGCGTTGCGTACTCGCGGTCGATCTTCGCAAGATAGTTACGAAGGTCAACAACCGCTAATCCGTCGTCCGTCGACGGAGGTGGTACTGCAGCGTGCAAGTACTCGCGCAAATGTGCCATTAAGGCATTGCAATGCGGTGTTGGCAAAGAACCGGTGGAGGAAATCGGTAACCATTGGAAGTCCTCAACCGTCAACGGGTCGAGTTCCTCAAGTCTCGCCCGAGTTGACGGGTCCTCCGATAGAAGGGTTGGTGAAGCAACCGGTTCGTTGTCCGACGACGGAACTACCGCGCATGCGCTTGAATCTTGCACGTGGAGAGGCTGGTTCAACGGTGGTACCAGCTCGACAACATAGTTCTCGAAAAATACTAGAACTTGCGACTACCGCGTCATCCCCGGATGTGAGAGAGACTGCTAGCAAGGCAGCCAACTCCGGCGGATTGCGAAGTGATGTCGCTACACTTCCCGCGGTGCTCAGTTTCCCGAGCTTGGACGCTTGCTGGTGATGTGTTTGGTGCTGTTGCACCACAAACAACATCCCCATTTCTGTCGCAACTTGAACATGTCTTCCGTAATGTCGAACTTTGTCCATGGTGCCTGTCGTGCTCCATTCCCGACGCTGGTCTCACCTTCTGTTTTCCCCCTCAAGGTCTTGAGCGTTGCGGTGGTGTCGCTGCCGCCACATCTCCGTCACTTGATGTAGACGCGGCTGCGTGGTCCTCACTTGGTCCTTGCTGGACTGCTGCTACTTGCGGCGTCCGTTGACCTTTGCCTTTCTCCACGTAACCGGGTTGTTGGCGGGTCTCATTGGCCGCACGCCGATTACCTTGTATGAGCTCTCTTGCCTTTGATATCATGTCATCAAAGGTCTCATGCTGGAATTCGCTGCCCAGCGCAGCTGTCAAGGCATCGCATGACCGAGCGAAGAACTCGGCCCGGATTGAGTCGAATGGTAAGTTCAACTCCGGGGTGGCGACGAGTCTTTGCCACTCCGTCAGCCATTCCCGCGATGTTTGCTGGCCTTGGAATATGTGGAAGATCTTGTTCAAAGCGTGCCGTTTGTCGTTGTTGACCATTAACCGAGTCTTCCATTTCTTCTCGAATTCCTCCCACGTAATCTTAGTGTGGAGTGTGGCGATGGTGCATTCTAACGTGACGGCAATGTGTGTCATGAAAGCCTGCACCCCTCCGTTGAGTTGGAGGTAGAGTGCGTCAAGTCGCCGTATTGCGGGGGTGTGATGTACATCCGCCTCCGCGTTGAACGCCATCCACCATTGCAACGGATCGGTCTTGTGGTAGTCGTCAAACTTCTCGATCTTGAAGTTTGGCATCTTCCATTCCTCGGCGACAGCGGCCGGTCGTTGCTGAACGTGGTCGCTGAGCGTCTGCAGCTGATTGTTGACTGTCGATGGCTCCAACAAACTTGCTGATGTCACCGAGCGATGTGACCACGTGGTTGATCCGCTCTTCGAGTTGTTTGGACGGCCAAAGCTGGGCTGCAGTCTGCCACTGTGCTGCCCGCTGACGCAGCTGCTGACAGTTGTGCCAACCCCATGCTGACATCAGTCTGCAGCTGGTCGTTGAGTGTTTGCTGCTGGCTGTTCGCAGCATGTAGTGTGCTGATCTCGGCCTGCAGGGTAGCGATCTTCTTGTCCAGTGCCTTGAACGTTGTTTCATGGCGGATGAAGACCTGCCGCATGGCCAGCAGTTCATGTTGCTGCCAATTGCACGTGTACAGCAGGTTCTCCATCAGAACTGTTCTGGCTTCCTTGTTTCTCTCTTCCTCGGTCGACTCCTCTTGCTCGTCGTTTGCTTGAAAGTGCTGTTGTCGGAGTATCCTCCGATACGTGCTTTCTTCGTTGGCGAGCTCCATTGTAGCTTGATAACGAACTTGGTTCTGGCTTGCCTCGACCTGCTGCTGTTGCAACCGTGCGGCTGCTGCAGCTTCTGCTGCGGCCTGGTGACGTGCTGCCTCTGCCTCTGCCAGCTGGCATTGAATTTCCTGCTGGCGGGCGGCTTCCTCCTCTTCCCACTTGCTGAGTTCAGCTGTCGTGGTCTCCGAGTAGATCTGGAGCCGTTTGAGAAACACTAGAAGCAGTTCATCGGCCTGCTGAACTGGGATCGGAAGGGCAACCGGCCTCTTGGGGCTGGCTTATGCATTCACGTCACCGGTAGCAGCCATGGACGTGCGTCGTCTGCGCGGGATCCGAGCGATCTTAGGTCCCTGTTGAGGTTTGGCTCCTGTGGATCCGCGCTCGGCCAGTCGTGGTGCCCGGCTGGCACTTACTTCCCATAGTCTCATAGGTCGTTTAGATTAGGTTAGGACTAACCCTAATTAGCGCTAATTAGGTTACTCGTAATTAGCGATTCCCTACTTAGTGCAATATGGAGTTTTATAATTTACCGACCTAATTACTATGTAAGTGCAAGAAAAGAAAAAAATTTGCAACTTGCGATGTGAATGATAACAGAGTACAGGTGTGATAATCAATCAATCAATCAATCAATGGTGAGTCATCCAATGCTGGTCTGCTCCGATACCAAACTGTTGCATACTCGTGAAACACAGCCATAAGTATGGCGCAGATTCCCATAACCGACCAGACAATACATAGTTAATACAAATGCAAGCGGAAGACCTGAGATACCTTGGACTGACTCGGACCTGACTCGGACTGCAATCGAACACTCTCAACCATACATCAGGGGTGTGAAAGCCCTGGCCGTAGACAAAGACGAAGGCCAGGGTCTGAGATCATCTATGGACGAATGGGGGGAGGAGAGAGACGAGGGGAGGAGGAGAGGGAAGGTGATGTCAACTCAATGTTTCCAAAGATAGTATCTTGAAATATCAGAAATGGCGAACATCCAAAATGTCGCGAATACAATGCCTCACAATGTCTCAGATATCGATCTCACAATGTCAAGTACATCTCCAGAAAGAAGATGAAATCAGATCCCCCAAGTAGACCTCAACTTATAGTCCCAATGTCGATGTTCCCAATGTCATCATAATTCGTAACCATCCTTCATACTCGTAGTAGCCCTGTAGGAGAATCCAGGAGTGGACTTAGACTGGGAAGGTAGGAGGAGAGAGAGAGAGAGAGGGAGAGAAGGAGCGGTGGAGGAGAGGGAGAGAAGGCGAAGCCTTCCTCCCTGGTACCTGGCACGGTAGCTATGGCGCAAGGGCGCTGGGCCGGTAGCTGGCGCTGCGCCCAAAGCTGCGCTAATCCTCTCGCCGCTGAGCTCCTGTTCTCGTCGCTGCTCCTCGCTTATGCTGCAGCATTGCGCTAATCGTACTAACGCTGGAACATTGCGCTAATCCTGAAGACGAACCTTCGGTCCATACTAACCTCCCTACCGAGGCTGGTACCCAACCTTTTGTAGTGCTGGGCCGGCCTCCTACCTGCTGGTACCTACCGGCCTGGACCGTTGATCTGATCAACGGTCCAGATTCAAACTGGACTTGGCGCCAAAATGCGGCAGCCTCTGAAACTGCGCCGCCGGTAGGTCCTATGCTGGACCGGTACCGGCCTTGTGGCCGTTGGCCTGGGCCTCTACCCCTGGCCTGCCAGAACCGCCATGGTCCAGGCCTATCTGGGCCTCATCTGAACCGTCGTCCCCTTAGGCCTACCCTGCCTATTTGGAACCGGGCCCTAACTGGGCCCCGTGTGGCTCAGAATGCCACACTCTATGTGAAGAAAGGTAAGGAGACTTATAAGTACCTGGATTCAGTCTGGGTTGCTGCAGCCAGGTACCTTGAAGAGAAAGAGAAAGAGCTTGATGAGAACGGAACAAAACTGATCCACAGCTTCGGACCCAAGCTTTATACCGACTATCCCAGACCTCCAGTCCCTTTCCCTCTTACGTATGGTTCAAACTGGACTGAACTGGATGATCTGGCAAAGAGGTACATTTCGCCTGCAGTAATTGATTACGAGGCGGTGACCATCAAGCATCTCAGACGAGGGATTTTCTCACGACCGTATCTTCCTACTCTATGGGAGGAGTTTTGTGCTATGGTTGATTGGTTGATTTTCGTGTTATGAGACTTGGCTGGAAATGCTCGGAACTAGCAGGCTTCAGGTGGCTCTACATCGAGAGACCACAATCTCTGAGAGTACGGAGACATGGCCGGAAGCCCAAACGACAGACAGCAAAATGAGAGAGTTGAGTGTGAGGAATCAGAGGGATGAGTGAGGACTCTTGATTGGTACTCGCCATACTCTCTTTATGTATACTTTCTGAGATTACTATGAGTTCTGATTCTTCCCTCACTTATCCTTGTCATCACTAGAGCCAGTCTGTCTTGCTTCTTTTGCATTATTTCTGCTTGATGAATTGCGTTCCCAGATGATCTCGTCACAGTTCTCAAGACTAGAAAATTGGCAGACCTGATACGTGCATGGCATATTTAATTTTAATTCTATTATTTGCATAATCTTGGCTGTTCCGAATCAAAATGAAAGATTCCTAAGACCGGGGACCGGCGAAGACTGCAATTTAAGGGTCTAGCTCGAAGCCGGACGCACACAACAGGAAGGGAGTTGCTTTATTTAATTTGATTTACTTATTGCAAACAAGTACAAAATCCTGCGTGACAGCCTGTTGGCTTTCTGGTCGCCTGAAGAGGCCCGACTAAAAAAAGTGCGACAACGGGACGCGACTGACATTTGAAATCCTTTCAGATATGCTGGAACCCGCATGAGGAGCATATGGATGGTCCAGGTATCTGGATACATCCAGGTATTCCCTCGCTCCCCCCCAAAAAAGGTTTGTATTTCTGTGAAGTTCCATGTTTTAACTCAACTTTGCCTATGATTTTCGAGATGACCCTCAGCTAAAAGTTGTTTGCATTAAATAAGGGCCAGTTGGCTATACATTGTCGCAAAGTGTCACATATTGTCACATATCTATGAAGTAAAAGAGTGCACTTTACAAACAGTAAAAACAAAAAACAAGACCAACATGAAGGGCAAACGAAATCATTCACTTTTCTCGTCCTTCTTTTAACTCCCCTTTCACTGTGCCTCTCACGTACAAGGCTCCCCACGTTGATGAAGTTGAGAGCGAGCTGCCCACAAACCCATGTGTCGTAATGGCCCACTTGTACGCTGTGAGAAAGAGGGAGAGTAAGGGGGGAGGGGATAAACACAGGGAAGAGAGATGGAGAGAAGACAAACAAAAAACGACAAAGTAACGCAAAGTACGGAGTGTGGAATGAAGACGAAGGCAAAGGAGAGAACAAGAAAAGGCTCAAGAATGAGTCTGTCCTTGACAACAGAGAGGACATACATTGTAAGGATTAGGGGGATGAACATATGGAAGACCTAGCTGAGCATTCTCAGCACAGCAATCGTCACGATGGATCGAATTGAGCATGCCCACCATACACCCCCTACAAATGGCATGTTGATTGCAGGCCAAAATGAAGGAAGAACGCTCACCACAAAAGACCATGCATTCAGTATAGTGCCCATGGTGCAAATGGTCATATAGTGTCCGGATCCGGAGGCTGCCAGTCAGGAACGGAGGGACAGTCCTCTACACACATGGATGTGCCACGCACAGTTTAGGCCATGCACTGTATTCAGAGCAAGACATATATATGGCTGGCAAAATTCCTGAACTCTTCGATAGGGTTGACAACTTGAAAAACTTTGCCGGGCTTTCAAAATGAAGAAAAAAAGTTGTTTGCATTGTAGTGCTGCATTAGCATTATCTTTTTCCGTAGTATTTTTCTGAAGAGTCCAATGCGCCGTGTACAATTCTGGATTCTTTTTCCCAGCTTCATACAATGTCATCTGAGGTGTTTTTGAAGTGACCTCTCTAGTTTGCTCTCACTATAACTAGTTGTTCATGGAGTTTGACCTGAAAATGCATTCAATTACATAATCAGGAAGGAGGATGTAGAAAATGGCTAGCCATGACTGAATGGGCATACATTTCCCTGAGGCTATGCAGGCCACCGAGCGACTTTGGCAGACTTCCAGTTAGGCCGTTCCCACTCAAACCCCTGCCATCCACAGACACAAAAACAACACCGGAGCTCAGCACCAGCCAATGTCGAACAAACCCAGTCAACAATTTGCCTGCCAGACGTTTTCTCAGCCTACAACCAACCACCAGAAAAGAAAGCAGTCCATTAGAAACAGACAAGATTCACAACAGCATACATGCAGAGAATACAAAGAGGATTGGCCTACGACGAAACAGTCTATATATACCGTCAAACAGAACTGCCCGGTAAACCGTGGGCAGAGAGGGAGAAGAGGACAACAAACGACCGGCTGTGACAAACCGTTTCATTGGAGTTTCACGAAGTCATCAGGAGGTTATATATACAATATATTGTCATATATATTGTCACATAACTATGAACTAAAAAGCGCGATTTTTGCCAAACAAACGACAAAAACTAAAAATTAAAAAAACAGGACAAACATGAAGGGCACAGTGAAACCATTCATTTTCTGATTCTTCTTCTGACTCCCCTTTCACCGTGCCTCTCACGTACAAGTCTCGCCACGTTGATGAAGTTGAGCGCGAGCTGCCCCCATCGCCTTGTGCCATAACAGCCCACTTGTACGTTGTGAGAAAGAGGCAAAGTGAAGGGGGAGGGGATAAACACAGGGAGGAGAGATGGAGAGCAGACAAACAAAGAATGATAAAAGGGAAAGTAAAGCAAAGTATGGAGTGTGGAGTGAAGATGAAGGCAAAAGAGGATAAGAAAAGGCTCAACAATGAGTCTGTCCTTAACAACAGAGCCGGCATACGTTGTAAGGATGACGTGAATGAACACATGGAAGACCTAGCTGAGCATTCTCAGTGCAACAATTGCCACGACCGGTGGCATTGAGCATGCCCAACATACACCCCCGACAAATGGCATGTCGATTGCAGGCCAAAATGACAGAAGAACGGTCACCACAAAAGAGCATGCATTCAGGAACGGTGGGACACACATGGATGCCGAAACCATGTTATTGAAGTGATTGCATATATATATCGTCTATATATCGTCTATATATCGTCACAAACAGAACTGCCCGGTAAACCGTAGGCAGAGAGAGAGAAGAGGACAACAAACGAGGGGCTGTGACAAACTGTTTCGTCAGAGTTTCACCAACTCATCAGGAGGCTGTCTATATATATATATATATATATATTGTCACATAACTATGAACTAAAACAGTGCAATTTGCGAAATAAACAGCAAAAAAAAAAAAAGAAAAGAAAAAAAAAAGGGCACAGTGAAACCATTCATTTTACTCGTTCTTCTTTCGACTCCCCTTTCACCGTGCCTCTCACGTACAAGGCTCGCCACATTGATGAAGTTGAGCGCGAGCTGCCCCCATCCCCGTGTGCCATAACAGCCCACTTGTACGCTGTGAGAAAGAGGCAGAGTGAAGGGGGAGGGGATAAACACAGGGAGGAGAGATGGAGAGCAGACAAACAAAGAACGATAAAGGGAAAGTAAGGGAAAGTAAGGGAAAGTATGGAGTGCCGAGTGAAGATGAAGGCAAAAGAGGATAAGAAAAGGCTCAAGAATGAGTCTGTCCTTGACGACAGAGAGGACATACATTGTAAGGATGACGTGGATGAACACATGGAAGACCTAGCTGAGCATTCTCAGTGCAACAATTGCCACGACGGGTGGCATTGAGCATGCCCGCCATACACCCCTGACAAATGGCATGTCGATTGCAGGCCAAAATGAAAGAAGAAAGAGCATGCATTCAGTATAGCGCCCATGGCCGCAAAATGGACATATAGTGTCCGGATGCGGAGGGTGCCTGCAGTCAGGAACGGTGTTCGTGGTTGTGCAAAGGAGAAGCTCGCAGAGTGTTGGTGCATTGTCTTGCTGCAGCACGGGGCCAGAGGAATGATCTTCAACATAAAAGAGGTTGCGGACGGTTTGTTGTGGCAAGAAAACAACATCATTTTGTAAGAAATCAGTGACATCAATCATGGCATGGACCATGGTGCCGTTGTCCCACAGCTCCCAGTGGTCAGAGGCATGTACAATGGCCATGTAATGGCCAGGGCCGTGCACAATGCAGGCAAAGATGTGGGATGGAGGATTAAACCACTCACCTGCTCGAGCATTGCGTAGTTCAAGTTGACGGTCCCTGATTGCTACTTGTAGGACAGCAATGGTAAAGCCTCCTTCACTGGTATAATCGCAATCCTCTGGCTGTCGTTGGGGAAGATCAGCATCAAGCTGAAGGGCGATTGCAAGGAAGTCTGATGGTGTATAAAACGGGCAATGGAGAATGTGAAGACAGATATTAGTTGCTGTCAAACCACAGAGATTGGTGAGGTTCTCAGGCTGGTTTGTTGGATGCTGGCCAACAATTTGCAGATCACCCAGATGGTGTTGCAAGCCCAAACTGTGTTGGGTTGTTTGCTGGTCAGTCATTTGCAGATCACCCATGTGGTCTGCGTGTGGCAGAGCACAAAATTGTGTTTCATCCGCACACTGCTGGTCAGCCATTTGCTGATCCCCCATGTGGTCTACGCCTTGTGGGGTCAACTGCGATCCGGGCAGATCATGTTCCAATCCCTCAACGTTTAGGGCTGCATCCTCAGTAGGGACTATGCCTGGAGTCAGGAGTGTACTCTGCGCAGCGGCTGCATCCTGAGTAGGGACTGGTGGCTGCCTGCAGGCAGATGGACTGTCTGCAGGAGTCATAGGAGCGGATATTGCCGTTTGAAACAAAGGAACCGCAACAACCTGTGGAGGAGGCACAGAGAGAATCGGGGCAGACAAAGAAACAGGTTGCTGATCCCCAGACAAGTGACAATGCCGCGGATGTCGTCGGTGATACACAACAAGGAGTAGTGGTGTTGCAAACAGAAGCTGAACTCGTAATCAGCAACATATGTGGAACAATGGGGACAATGGAAACTGGAGAGTGTTCGCAAGCGAGACCGTGGAGGAAATGGGGGTGGTGAGGAGGAACGCAGTCGTCTACGGCCAAGCACAGACAAAGATGAGAGGGGGGTGCATTGGGCAAGATTTCAGAGCGAAGGACGTGAGTGTCGGAGAGATTGTGATGTTCTTTGCATTGGAGCTGCACGACAGGATGCTGTAGCAGTAAGAACTAAAGTAGGGGGAATTACAGTTAGGGAAACTGCTGTAATGAAAACTGCAGCAGTGGAAACCGCAACAGTAGAAACTGCAGCAGCGGAAGCAGTTGAGACTGGAGCAATGGAGACTGCAGCAGTGAACACTGCAGCAGTGGAAACCGCAACAGTGGACACTGCAGCAGTGGAAACTGCAGTAGTGGACACTGCAGCAGTGGAAACCGCAACAGTGGACACTGCAGCAGTGAAAACTGCAGGAGTGGAGACTCCAACAGTGGAAACTGCAGGAGTGGAGACTGCAGCAGTGGAAACTGCGGTAGCAGCAGATGAGTAAGCAGGGCCAGGACAAGAGCATCATGGGGGAAACTGCAGGAGTGGAGACTGCAGCAGTGGAAACTGCGGTAGCAGCAGATGAGTGAGCAAGGGCAGGACGAGAGCATCGTGGGGGCGAAGAAGAAATTGGATGATACAAGGACCATCTCAACATGTGTCGGAACCACTGAGAGAGACGCGTCACATGTGTAGCATAGCGACGTTGGCGGGAGCGCATGTAGCAGGTCCACCCCTTAGCAAGCCTCCAATAAGTCTACGATTGGGGGGGCGGGGGGAGGTCGGAGG